CTGCCAGGAGGGATTCTTGGATCAGAAAATATCTCACAAAACTTCAACAGAATAACTTCTATTCTGAAGAACACATTTGAGAAGACTTACTAACTAGAAAACATGAGATGACAAAGAATTCAGTTGTTTCACTGCACTTTGTAGGCTACTCTATAAACAGCAATAGCAGTGCCTTTTGGGTGCCAATTTTTCAACCGAACACTAAACACAAAGCCTTTGCCTATCTTACGTATCCATGTTGCAAACTACTTGGTTTCAAGGGTTCAGCCAGACAGAAAATTTCTCCTGTGGATGATAACAGCTTGAAATGAGGTCTGTAAGATTTCCGCTGTGAGGTGAGGGCTCCGTAGTGGTCCTCTTGAGGTTCCCTTCCTGAACACAGGAGGAAGGAGAAGGTGGTTCTTCTGTGGCTGAACAGGCGCACGCTGATGAAGATAACAGAACAATGGCTCCTCAGTGTTCCCTATGGTGACCTTACAAATCCAGCCTCCACAAAAATCTGAACCTGACTCCCATTTAGGAGAGCATCCCAGAGAGAAGGTGCCAGCCCCACCTCATCTGCAACCCTCAGCAGGGCAGCCATTAATTCAAGTCACTGGAAAGGACCTCTTTAGCACCTGCAACTACCCGGCTGCTTTGCTCTCTCTGTACACACATTTCAATCACCAGATGAATTTTGATCACATTCTCCTCTGAGTCCACAATGTTTCACAACCAATATGTGCCTGCATTAACATAGAGCATAACACATCTGGGCTTTCTACCCAATGATTACACTCCTGATCACATGCACGCTGGTTTAAGTGCTTCCTGGGCAGCAGTAAAACTGAAACTCCCTATTGGTTTTTAAATGTGTTCTTCAGAAACAACATAAACCAATCACTGTTACCACCACCACTACTTCTACCAACTGGCAACTTTTCGCAGGTATTTAGACTCACTCTTTCTGAGTAAACTGCAGATTCACTGCGGGCAGGAAACACACCTTCTGCTTCTTTATATGTGACTACCAGCTGCCTACTGAGCAGCACATTTGCTGCAAGTGGCAGTCAAATCACTAAAGGGTAAGGCTGTGCAAGACCAGCAGCAATGAGCGTGAGAAAGATCATGGGAAAGAAGTGAGTGCACAGGGACAGATGCTGTGGCACACAGCAGGCCGGCCTGCAGTGCCAGCATTGCATATGGGGTGATGGTTTGAGTCCAGCTGCTCCATTTCTGATAGTGAAACCTGCTAATGCATCTGGGAGGGCAGTGGAAGATGGTCCTTGGACCCCTGCCCTTATGGGAGAGATGTGAATGGAGTGCCAGGTGCCTGCCTATCTTTGGTCTGGTCCAGTCCTAATCGTTGTGGCCAACTGGGGATCAATCTCCTTCTCTCTTAACTCTTTCTTTCAATATATATATTATATATAGTGTGTGTGTATATATATATTATATACACACATATAATATATATATTATATGTATATATATTCAATACACACACATGTGTGTGTATATATACATTTTATGTGACTTCATAGTTCCAAAAAAGCATCCATAAATCTTACTTTGAGTCCCTAAACTGCAGATGTCCACTCAGTCTCCTTCCCAGCAGCCTAGACAGCAGGGAATTCTGCTTCTTTTTCTGTTCCACAGGGAACTGATCATGACAGCCATGGCATGAGAGGGGAAGGGGGATGAGAGGATGCTCAGGATCCCTAAGACATCAGGGTGGCAAGGAACCTCCACCATTAGTTACAGGGAACCCTGGGGAGAGGGAAATGGCACAGAATGAGGGCCTCCTGCCTGGCTCTTCCCTCCCTGTCACTCACTGGAAGCTCCTGTTCTTCCAGGGCCCAGGGAAAAGGCAGGGGAGGACAGGGGAGAGAGATTTTGCTTCTGTTTTGTGTGATGCTGGTTGAGAGAGTGGAGATGCTGCTTGCCCTGTGTCACAATGGTCGATGTTGAGAGCTGCCCCAGCCGCTCCCTCTCAAGACTCGGTCTCCAGCTCCACTCAGTAACCTTCCCTTCCTGAATTGAGGTCTATCAGTCATGATGGTGGGCTGGTCCTGTAAGTGAACTTCTTGGTGTTCTGTTGCAGTCACTCCCTCCATTTACTGTGTCCAAAGCAGAGTCTCTGTTTTGCACAGGAACTTTAGAGCCTTCAGATGAGGTTTGTCAAGGAATAAAAATTCACCTGGGCAAGATAACCCTGCTGAGGCAGACGTGCATCCCTGTGACCCAAGGATGAGTCTGCCCATGACCTACCACTCCCAGTGGGGCGGAGGTGGGTCTCACAGAGGCAAGGGAGTTTGTTTCCGTTGCACAGCACTTAACTTATACCTTGCAAACCCATTCCAGCAGCCCTGGGGAGTGGTCCCAGAGCCCTGGGCCAGCCCAGAGCCCATGTGCTGACAGATACAGCCCCTTTGACTGGCTTCAGGTCACTCACTAGGTTTCCAGTAGCATAAGGGAGGAGAAAATGAAGCCTGCCACAGGAAGCCATATTCCTGGCTGAGTTCAGAACTGCTCCTCAAGCTCCGGGCTGATATGATACACCCTGAGCTGCAGGCAGACCAGGCCACCAGCCGGAGGTGGTGAAATCCACAGGGCCTGTGCCAGGGCACACTTCCCTCCTGCCCCATTCCCTGAAGAAGCCATCCTCTGTTGGCCCTCTCGCTGCTAGAATATCTGTTTTCTACAGGCCACCTTGACAATTCCTACTCACTACCCTGCGGCCAGCTTGTGCACGGCATGGTTTCCTCAAGGAATTTTCCAACACAACCTTCCTGCTCTTGCTCCCTGCCTGACAAAGCCAATGATTCCCTCCACCGAGTTCCTTGTTTGTTACCCAGCACATTTTTCTATGACTCCATTAAACACAAAATTAGGTGTCTTCAATCTGGTTTCTGGAACAAACAGAAATGTCTTGGGGAATCAGCTAATTTGTTTACTTTTTGAATAGCTGCCTGGTTGCCAGTAGCCACTGAATGCATCTTTGATAAATTAACAGAAAAACTAAATTTTAAAATTCACAACCACACTTGTTTCTCCCTCATAGAAAATTCTTCTATTGTTCTGTTCATCCATTTCATGAATGTTCTGAGTCCCTTATGCAAAAATGTCCTTTCCCCTCTAATTTATATTAAATTAAAGTGGGAGGGAGAGAAAGTGCATGCGTCTACTATCACACAATACTTACTTTTCTGTAAGCAGAACATTTTTCTTTAGTGTCAACATACTGTGGCATATAAACAAAGCAGTGAACTCAGGGATAGACAGAACAGGAACCAGACATAGGAAATTCTAAGAACTGTCTGCACACACCTCGACACGGTACTTCTTTCCGGTAGTTCATGTTCAGTGCTTTGCTGTTGTCAAGTGACACAAGCAGGACTGCATGCCTTACCACATGACCTTTCCCGAGTTCTAATTAGTGTGATCAGGTCAACTTCCCAATTTCAATGTACCGGAAAGCAAAATCTCTTCTCACTAATTATTCCATCTCATCAGACTTGAAAAGACCATCTTTGAAGGATGTGTCTTTTAAAACGATACTATAATGTGAACATACATCCTATCTCCTTTCCAGGAGGATAAGTTCTTTGGTTTCAGTGGCATGATAGACTCTGATAAGTGAGCTTGCACCCTCTAGTGAGATGTACAGCTGGGAACCTCTTATCTTAAAAAGCTGAAATCTGACAAGAAACTGTTGATTATACAGCATTTGGCAATGTTCAATAAAGCTAATGAAGTTGTAAATGATCACAGCCATGCATATACTGAATGATGTCAGAGTCTGGAATGTCAGATCTTACGTACAGTGCTCTTGTTCTGGGCTTTTTTTTTTTTTTTTTAAATCAAATTGCAAGAAGCATATAATTGGTTCGACCCCAAATGATGGTTTACTGGCAAAATCCTTGCCTTACAAGTGCCGGGTTCCCACATGGGCACTGCTACATGCCCCAGCTGCTCCATTTCCCACCCTGCTTGTGGCATGGGAAAACAGTAGAAGACAACCCAGTGCCTTGGGACCCTGCACCTGCACAGGAGACCCAAAGAAGCTTCTGGTTCCTGGTTTCAGACTGACTCAGCTCCAGCCTTCACAGCCACTGCAGCCATTTGGAGAGTGAACCAGTGGAACGAAGCTCTTTCTTTCTGTCTTTCCTTCTCTCTGTAACTCTGATCTGCCTTTCCAACAAAAGTAAATTTTAAAAATTTTTTTAAAAATTAAAAATTAGTAATTAGTTTAGCTAAGCTGCTAAAAGATGTTTTTACATATCGTCTGAAACATATATAAAGGGTCTTGAAAAAGTTCATGTAAAATGTGTATTAATGAAAAAAACCATGAACATATTTAAAACATTTTCACTCCGAAATAAATTTAACTTTTAATTCTACTTCCCAGGAATTTTGTAAAGTCTCCCAGTATGAATGAACATGGCAATGAGTACTGACTAGAGATCTATGTTTTCAAGAACTTGCAAAGTAGGTGACTGACAAGGTGCTCCTGGAAGTGCTTCCATCTTGACAGGGAAGCAAAGAGCAGAATGCACGTCAGAACATCTGAGCCAAAATTTAGAAGGTTCATGGAAAACCACAGCAGGACTACAAAAGCTGTAGCTGTAAGTCATCAGACATGATTTAAAATAACAAGAGAAATAATTATGGCAACAACTTTTTTTGGTCTGCATAGCTAAGCTGAAAAACCATCAAAACGTTTAAAAGCTAAATGCCATTATAGTTTAAAACAACCTGTGGACAGCTACCTCTAACAGCTTGCACTTTTCTTTCTTTTTGTCTTGCTTTTGTTTAATCACAAGGGTGTGGGTCAAATCCAGTTTTATTTGGCTCAACACAGAACAGCCCTCAGGGCTTGTCCCCTGACATCATCTTTCCTTTAATAACCACCTCAAAACCATGCAAAACAGCAGGTCCACCTTTCCCTGGAATCAGATGCTCTGGGCACTGGCCTAGGTTCAGTAGAGAAGCAATCTGAACTCCAGCTGCTGCCTTACCTTGAAGAACTTCCATAGGGAGAACAGTCCAAGCATTTTCCAAATAGGAAATGTAAATATAGCGAGCGGTGTTGCAGGCGAGGCCAATATACAGGACCCTAAAAAATTAAATTAAATTAAATTAAATGAATAAAATAAAAAGGTAAGAAGGATGGAGTGAGTCCCTACTATATATATATATAAAAAAATGCAAATATTGCCTACTCTTCTTCTCCAAACACAGTGTTCCAAATTTAGGCTGGAGTATGAACCATGAATGCAGGAATTAGAAGATTGCTCATAATACATGTGCTCTCAGCCCTTCCAAGAGGTTTAATATAAATGCAAACATCAGCCTTCCTGAAACTTAATTAGTAGCTGAGACAATGCTTTTATTATAAGATACTCTGGGCACACCGCCATCTATAATGACATCACTGGCTTCATGCCAGGCGGCTGTAGGGTAAATACGCTTGGGATGGAAGACACTACCATGGGAGCAGAACAGGATAAAAATGAGAACACATGAACACATACGGGTATTAGTGGCAATATCCAACATACCAAGCAGTTTCACCTGGAAATTCACTGAACACTGTCATCCAATGAACAATAAGTTATATGGAAATGGAAATACTTAATCCTATCAATTGAAACGTGCTATTTAAAAAAAAATATTCATATACACTTACGAAATGGAAAAATACGTATCAATGTCTTGCTTCTCCTTCCCCCTTACACACCACAAACAAAAGTAAAACAAGCAAAGGCCTAAAGTGATCAAATCAAGCATAAAATTAAATCTCTTATTCTGAACTGGATGGGCTTGTTTTGAAGCAAATGCTAGCTGCTTCTCCAAGCAAAATGCAACCTGATAGGGGCACTTTCTCATTTTCCACTGCCTGCTCATTTCTCATAATCTTCTGCCTTCCTCATTTTCAAATCCTAGTGGATACAAACCAGAAGGCAAAAGAAACCAACACAACAACCATTGCCATTTTCCTAGTCTTGATCAACTACAATTCTACATTAAAGTCCTTGCTGTAAATAATATTTTCCATCTTCCAAATTAGAACCAAGAAAGGGAAGTGCTTTCAGACACCCAGGTGGCATTAATCACAAACACGGTTGAGAAGAAAGAAAAAAGGGACCAGTAGTGTTGTGAGCATAGGGAGTCACTAGGAAATGGCTATTACTCAGAACAGACGCAGGAGATCCTCAGCAAAGCACTGGAAAGGGTTGGACCACCTTGTTCTCTGGACACTATATTCTTTTTACTTGTGTGTTCTGAGGACAACGGTATGTGTTGCAACGACGTCTGATAAACATTTTGTCAGTCATCAGCATCCTTCCTCTTGGAAAAACCCACAGAAATTAAAATGCAAAATACACTGCATACACACATACACACAGAGAGAACACAATCCTTTGCCACTTTTTAAGTTCTAAAGCAGCTCTAGGCCTGAACCCTACCAGCACAAGAGTTACCAAATACTTTCTACAAAAGGCCACACAGTAGACAGTTTAGGCTTTGTAGACCCCTCGGTCTCTATTACAGCTTGGTCACTATGGTGTAACAGGAGTCATGAATAACATGCAAACGAGTGAGCAAGGCTGGGCACCAATAAAATTTAGACTATCAACACTGTAAATTTCAGGTAATTCTCACGTATCACAAAATATTCTTGTGATCTTTTTCAACCATTTAAAAATGTATAGCTGAAGTTAGTGAGTAATCTGAAAAGATGCCAAAGGTAAAGTTAGGCTCAGAAACCATCCCAACCATGGCTTCCCTCATCAATTCTTAACCATGGCTGTCCATCAGACTTAGTCCAGTAACTGTTAAAAAAAAATGACACCTGTCCAGGTCCATGGCCATCTCAACAAGACCTCCATGGTAAAACGCAAGCACTGCTTTTAGAAGCCCTTGGGTTATTCTGATCCTGAGCCAGTAATGTACAGCCACCAGGTGAGCCCATTCTAGCCTGTCCTTAGTCATACTTTCCTATAATTCCATCATGAATAAATTTAGCAATTTACTCTCCCAGCATTCATATTACTTATCTTGAATCTTTTTTGGAGCCCACCTCTGATTCAGAGTCGCCATTATTCAATCCAAGCCAAAGCTGCAGGCCTGAAGCAATCCACAGTCCATCAATTCAGTTAAAGAGGTAGACAGTGTAACACCATCAAACCTCTACCTACATGTGATTTAGATGCTGGGTTTCTGTCTATAACCTCTGAGGTTCTTAGTTCATCAGCAAATAGAGTGGGTAAAAACTTGAAATACCCTTCATTTCTTTCCCTTATCTAATGTCACAACTGACAATCCTTTAAGAACAAATGAGGTCGGGCCCGGCACGGTGGCGCAAGTGGTTAAGGTCCTTGCCTTGCATGCCCGGGATCCCATATGGGCGCCGGTTCTATCCCGGCAGCCCCGCTTCCCTTCCAGCACCCTACCTGTGGCCCAGGAAAGCAGTCGAGGACTGCCCAAAGCTTTGGGAACCTGCACCCGCGTGGGAGACCCGGAAGAGGCTCCTGGCTTCGGATTGGCATAGCATCGGCCGTTGGGCTCACTTGGGGAGTGAATGATCGGATGGAAGATCTTTCTCTCTGTCTCTCCTCTCTGTATATCCGCCTTTCCAATAAAAAAAAATAATAATAATAAAAATAAATCTTTAAAAAAAAGAACAAATGAGGTCAAAATACAAATAAGAGAAAAAAATCAGGATGTACACAGGTGAAGTTATTTCCTCTCCTTTAGTTTCTTCAAATATTTTTAAGAAGGGATAATCAGTTCTACTCTGAAGGTTTATGGTGATATTGCTAACATTATGACTCACTCAAAACAAGCACTCAATAAATGGTAGCATTATTATAATTTTGTGATTTATTTATCTGGAAAGGCAGATTCACAGAAAGAAAGACAGGTCTTCCATCTGCTGTTTCACTCCCCAAATGGTGAAAATGATCAGAACTGAGCCAGTCTGAAGCCAGAAGCCAGGAGCTTCTTCCAGGTCTCCCATGGGGTGCAGGTCCCAAGGACTACGGCCATCCTCTGCTGTTTTCCTGGCCATAAGCAGGAAGCCAGACTGAATGTGGAGCAGCCAGGTCATGAACAAGTGCCACAGGCTGAGGCTTGATGTACTACAGCATCATGCCTGCCCCAGCATCATAAAGGATTCAACAACACTTTCTGCTTTCAGACATTGTTTCTGTCTCAGAATTCCAAAACACAATGGAGCATCAGGACCCCATTCTCACGAACCATTGTGAGGAAGTCGATGGCTTCAAGCAATCAGCCATACCTTCACAGGTTTGAACTGAAAGGAATGTAGTATTCAGATCAGTAGGAAGGCAGAACAGACACACATTATTTAACAGTCTCTGACTTATTTTTGAAAGTTTAAGGATAATGTGTCATGGTGATGATCTTTTCTAAACACAATTAATGGGAAGTATTCCAGCAATTTTAAAGTATCTTTAACATCTGTTTGGAATATTTAAATTGCTTTATTAATCACATTTATGCACTGAACTGTGTCATACATTCCCAAATGCATATGTCAAAGCCCTAAGTCCCAACAATCACTAACTTGGCACCTTTGCAGTGGTACTTCAGGTGAAATGAGGTCACTTGGGCAGTTCCTAATCCCATAGTACTGATGTCTTTGTAAGGATGGCAGATTAGCACAGAGACAAACCTGGCAGGAAGACCAGATAAATAAAAATCATGGAGGAAGACTAGCCAAGGAGACCCTCAGAATAAACCAACCTTATTGACACTTTGAACTTGGACTTTTAGCAACTAGATCTGGGAGAAAATACATTTCCGGTTATTAAGACACTGGTTCTATGGTTATTTGTTGCAGAATCCCTAACAAGCGGACACGCTCACTCTTCTGCAATGAAGGATTTACTTATAAAAATAAAACTCATGATATGTTCTTCTAGATAAAATTTTGCACAACCAAATTCTTTATGCTCAGTAGAAAGCACACACATGTTCAAGGTCTTGAAATATTCCTGGGATGGAAGCCTGGAAATATAGAAAACTAGTCTGAAAAATGCTCCTCAGCGAGCTAGACACTTAGGAAAATCTCTAATGATAGAGGTCAGTAACATCACCACTGTCCTAGTTCATAACAGGCAATCAGCAAAGTAAATAAAGTAGGCAGCATACAGGCAACTGTAGAACAGGTGGTTAGTGTGGGTGAGGTTATCTACAAGGAGGGACACAACTGGCAAGCAACAAACGACTCAAGAGAAAACACTACAAAATCACTTGTCAAATATCTTGAAATTCTGCAGGTGAGCAAAATTCTAATAGAAGGAAAATTGCTTTTAAGATTCAGATTTCTTATTTTCACAATTCACAGTATTAGCAACTGATTACTAATTATGCTGTAAAAAAAAACTGGCATTTTTCAAAAGATTTTTTTAAGATACAGATACAGCTAATTGTGAGTCATTCCATAATTGCTAACAGGGTGTAGGTTAGCTATTATGCTCTCGTTTTCTAAACTTAACCAGTTATCATATAGCTCAGTGCCGTTTGAGAGCCTCAAAACCACAATGAATATGAATTTCCTCAATAAACAGTTACAAGAAACCACCATGTACCATAAATACACTAGGCTGGACTTGCAGGAAACAAGAATAAAGAGGAAACCTTGACTTTGAAGGAGCCTTAAGAGTGTAGCGGGGAGAAGACATAGAAGCAAAACAGTGAACTATGTGATAGGGCATGCACAGCATGCATAAAAGGGAGGTCCTCTACTAACCCTGTGGATGAAGGACACCTAGGTTAGAAGCAACTGGACACAGATGAGGGCAAGAGTACCACAGGCAGAAGAAACAAGTGAACAAAGGCTAACCAAAAAACCTTGAGCAGCTGTGGCTGGAAAGACTGATCACAAGAAGAAGGAGGCTCAGCTTCAGGACTGGGAAAGGGAAACGTGAACTTCTCCAGTCTTGACCCAGTCTAGACAATTTCTGAGCAGCAAGAGTGTCTGACAGCAAAGGAAAATCCAAGATCATCCTATAGCGCATGCAAGCCACAAAGTCTGGGAGCCTGGCATTCCCATAGCACAGCTTCAGGAATCACCAACAGAGACCC